GGCAGACTTTGTTGCCGTCCAAGACACGCACCTCACGGTGGGGCGCAGCCATGTGATGTCGGCGAGGCTGGCCAAGCTCGGCTGGCATGCGCATGAAGCCCCTGCGGAAGGGTCGGGGTCTGGGTTTCCAGGGCATGGAGGCCTCCCCCTGATGGCGCAGCGGGTGCACGGCATGGAGCAGTTCGAGGAGGTCGGCAGGTCGATCATCGGCGACGGGCGTGCGACCTTCGTTCATCAATCTGGCTCGGGGGGGGCATGGTGCTGGTCACGGTTTACCTGCACACGGCCGATGGGATCTCGCGATCGTACGAGAGCATTCGGCACAAGGTATCCACCATGCTGCAGTTCCTTGTGCGCCCTTTCATCTTTAGTGGCGACTTCAAGAGGGAGCCAGCCCTTCCCATGCTGCCCTCCGTTCTCGAGAGGTGTTGTGGGCGCGTCGTGGAGCCGTCCCCGGGCACGCACAGGCCCTCGGAGAAGGTCAGTGATTGTTGCGTCGTGACCAGGCACTTCACCGTGGCCAGCGCCGAGGTCCTTCATGATTGGGAGTTTGGGCCGCATCGGCCAGTCAGGCCCACGTCCGATGGCGCTCAGTTCGACGGCACTGACTTCGCTCAAGGGCGTGCAACTGGGCGACAGGTGCGACGAGCGCGCCTTCGTGCAGCAGAGCGACGGGTACCTAGAGTACGGCGACTTTTGGTGAATGGAGGTCGACGTACTAACGCTGCCCGAATCGCCAAGCAGGACCTCGAGGCAGGTTTTTGCGTACAGTGTGAATTGCACGGGGCCCAGCGACGCCGACCTTCAGTCTACGTGTTCGTCTGCCTTCCGTTGCTCGGAGGCCCGAGTGGACGGCAAGAGTCGCGCGATCTGCCTCAGGTGGTCGCCTGTGCGTGAGCTCGACCCCATCTTTCGAGTTACCATCGATCCAGCTTGTATGTTGCATCGTGCAGTCTGGGACAAGTGGGTGCCTCAATCTTTGCTGGCTTCTGTGCGGGCGTGGACCCCCGCTCAGGTGCAGTTTTGGGCTCGCGTTCGCGGGCCCATCAGCGCTGCCTTCATGTCCCTGCTGCGCTTCGGCTGGGCGGCGGCCAGCATCAGCACCTGGGTCAACTCGGCGACTGGCGCGGTGCTGCTGGACTTCTCGCCGTGGTATACGAAGCAAGTGGCTCGGGAAGCAGTTCCGTGTTGGCAGTTTCAGAAGGCTGCTG